ATAAGAGTGGAACCAAAGCACAGAAAGAATAGCCTAAGGAATCTTAATATAGATGTGCTCAAGTGGCAAATCCTAATAAAATTCATCCTGGAATGATTGAGGAATTAGGCACTACTGATTTTATTTATTTATTTAATATCCCAGAGGGTGGAAATAGCCAGCAAAATGGGTTTGTGTGTATCTGGTTTGTCCCTTTATTCTTCTGTTAAGAGAATTATTGAAGCTGTCAGTTTTGATTCTAAATAAAGGTTCAGGAGTAAATAGTTTAGCAATTAATTTGTATCTAACAGTGTGTGGAAGAGTGATTGTAAAAYAGCCAGTATGGTTTGGTGAGACCTGTTTGTAAGAAACCTCCATGTTTTTCTTTCTTAATAAGACCAACAAGTTTAGTAAGAGGAAAACTTAAGGTACTATACAGCCTGATTTTAATAAAGTCTTCCTCCCTACATGAGCARACTAGGGAAAGGTAATATCAATATTGTTTCCATCAGATGTTGATATTCTCAGCATCAAGTTGAAAGATTGCTTTTACAGAGCAATTATCTATAGTACCCTGCACAAGATGAAAAGGCATTAGCAAATTGAATGATGGAAGAGAACACATACTTAGAAAAGTTACTGATGATACAAGCTGGGGAAGGGTTGAATGTTTGGGGTTTTTCTTTTTTCCTTTGTTTTAAACATAAAACGTGAATCCAAAATACTCTTGATGAGTTTGGAGAGAAAGTCTAAAATCAACAGGAGGGAAAAACAATGCAGGCAAGTACAAAGCACTGCATTTAACATGAAAAATGCAAAATACGTGAATCYGAAACAGGAAATAATTATTCGGAGAGAAAAAGACATGAAGATATAGTAGATCTTAAGGTAAATTGCTGCTGGGAGAAAAGTAAAGTTGTTGGTTTGTTTTGGATTTTGTTTGGGTTTTTAGGTTGGTTTGGTTTTTCTAGAGGATCATATCAGGCATGTTGTAGGAGAGSGGGTATGTCTAGTTTGGCAAATCATTTCCTGGTAATTGGTCCTCTGACATCCCTTGCTGCTTTTTGCTCTTGAGAAGGTACAGCAAAATGGAAATTCTTCTTTATTCCTATTTTCTACTATACAATAAAAACCATCCTGATTTGTAATAAAGATGCTTTATGCTGAATATGAGAAAAAGAGTGTTTGTAATTATTAGGGTTATAAAACACTGGAACAGAGTACTTAGAAAAACTGTGGAATTAGCTTTCTTGGTAGACACCTGTCAATATATTCTTGAGCCTGTGTTCTTGCTGCATTAGGATTTGGTGGTCTCTTGTAGTCCATTCTATGTYTTTGTAAGTACAGTGTCAGACTACATGTTTTGCTTACACAGAAGAGGTTGTCTAAAAGAATTAAATCATCAACTTAGTGAAGTCAATAGATGTGCTATTTAACTCATCCTAAGTTTTAAGTTGAAGCAGTAAGGAACAAATTTGGGGTTTTAATTTTATAAATATATTTTTATTTAGCTTCTTAAAAAGTATTTGAAAAATCATACTTTAAATTATTTTGAGGCTTCTGCAGGTATATGTCATCTAATGATTATGCTGAAAAGCAGGGAATGCAATTGCAGTTGCTCTGAGGTAGAAACTATTCATCCACAATAGAAAAGCCCTGTGGAAAAAATGGCACCCAAGGGGTTACTTGGATTTGTATATTTCTGCAGGCAAAGTTTACAGACCTGTGAATTTAAATGTAGAATTTTTGTGGGCAGAATGCATTGACAAATATGCCTGATGGTAATACATCTCCTACTGATAGTCCCAGAACAGGTCAATAATAATGCTTGTATTGATAGCGGCAGTGCAGGAGATGTTACTTGGTATTATAGCTAAAATCCATGTTATCCCCTTAATTATAATTACATTAATATTGACAGGCTGTTGACAATACTCACATTACTATTGATAGATTTCTGTCAATAACATGTTTCCAAATAAAATATGTTCATTCATAATTTTTACAATGCTCAGTAACAGCACTAATATATACTAGAAGAAATTCCTTTTTCCCTGGTGATATACAATAWTTTTTTTTTCATACTGTACAGGTGGGCTTGTTTATTTTTTTGGTAAAAAACAAAACAGACAAAATATAGGCTATTTAAGAAAGGAACATTTTAGGGCATTTTGGTGGGGTTTATTTTTTCCTGATAGGCAACTTTTTTTCTATGCAATGTCTTTGACAGTATAAATTAGAGGGAGAACCTTTCAAATAGCAGTCTTTTGCCTTATAGTATTTGTTTAAAAGGTTCGTCATACAAAGTTTGATTTACTCTTCTCTGCAACCATCGCATAGTAGAAGATTATTCATAGATTACTTGTTAGCTGCCTTATCCTTCAGGTTGAACAATCTGAGTTCCTTCAAGCTTTTCTCATCTATCAGGACCTGGGGTTCCCTTAAGGTGTTAGTAACAGGACTCGTTTCAGTTTGTTGACATTTCTTTTGTTCTATTTATAGAAAAGGGGCAAAACTGGACATAAYATGCCAGGTGTAGACTCACCAAAGCCAAGTGGAGGGTAATATGCTCATCCTTCATCTGCTGGATGTACACGTGGTAGTGTGTGCTGCAAGGACACACTGGTGGTGGCTTGTTTTCTCCTTGGTGCTTGTCAGAATCCCCACATCCTTTTTTCAAAGCAGGTGTGCACTTATAAAGGCTCCCATCCTATAAGAATTCATTGTCTTCATTGTATATTTCATGATCCATCATAATCCTGTGTACTTGACACATTTTTCTTTGTCTTCAGAAGGTTCCCGATGACTCATTCTTCACTTGCTCAGGTTTCTTTAGATAACATGGCTATAAAGGAAGAAAAAAAATCTGTTCAGATTTAGTCTGCCTTATTTTTGAGAAACTTAAAATAGAAATTGCTCATAGCACCTTCAGTAATGTAAATCGGTTGAAAATATGCTTGAACTGGTGTTGGAAAATAGTCTTAGTAGATGTGTCAAGGAAGTTGTTTTATAAGATGATCCTTTTGAGTAACTTTAGCATTTTTAAAGGAGGTTTTGTGCATTGGGACTTGTATGTTACACTGAAACGAGTAGAACCAAGTGAAATAAGTAGAAGAGAAGACATTAGACTTTTAGGAGTTTGACTGAATAACCTGTGACACAGCAGACGGTTATCAAAGGCTCTGGTTCCTAAAATGGTAAGAGAGTAAAAAGACTRGGGGTAGGAGGGTGGATAGTCATTAGCGGTGGAGTTATTGAAATGAAGCAGCAAAATCCAGTAAGGATTGAATTGATCCTTTGATCATAGAGGAGGGAAGTYGTTTGGATCATAAGGGAAAATGTTTCCTGTGCTTTGGTTCCTGCTACTGAAAAGACTAAGTGTGACTGAGACAGACTTGCATATACAACCTTTGTATCCTGGTTTTTCTAGCTGGTGTGTGTTGATGCAATGAACCCCAGAGCTGTTTTCCCAGAGGAGGTGGTCTTCTACTACCTTCAGTCATGTTTTGCCTGCTAATAAGGAAGGAGGAGTTTAAAAAAACTCAGTGRAGCTATTGTATGCTCTACCCATGTAGCAGTCTTAGTTGATTGAAAATTACTGTTGTACATCCTACACTAAGGACCAAATCATATTTCCTYGCAGTGATAACCAATTAGAAGTACAGAATACAGTAGGAAAGCTGCAGATTATGTTTAATACTGTGGCTTAAAACTACTTCTGTTTCAGCATATGGTTGTTAGTTTGGAGGATTTTATTTTTAGTCTTCTCGGCATAATTAGCAGCATTTCTACCAAGACCCTCTACAGCATCTTTTACTGACAGTAATTTTCTATGTGTTATAACAGATTTTTCTCTTATAAATAAGAATTTAAGGCACCACCTTCTATACTTTCTCCAGAAGGCTGTGGACTCCTTACTTGTCTGTTTACAAAGAATCTGGTTTAGAAAGTGAAATATGTTGCATAGTATCTGAAATGTACCTCTTCTAAATCACTTTGGAGGTTTTTTTTTGTTGACRAAAGGAAGCAAAAATTGGTTAACCCACAATTTTGCATTGAGGTGTTATCCATATTTTGCTTTTGCCATTTTATTGCATTTTTTTTYCTCAGTCATAGAATCCCAGATGCAGTAACATTTAAAAGAAGCCATTTAAAAAATACATTAGGTTTTTTTTTTGTTTTTCTCTATAATGCTTGAGCAAGAGGAGTACACATTTGTTGAAATTGCTAGTATACATTAATCATCTTGCCTGGAAATGTTACACGACAAGTAGCACAATCCCACACCTGTCAAAAACACTCTAGAAAATATATGCAGACTTCAGTGAAGTACTRTATGATAATTTATGTCTGAATGCTGAATGTTTCTTATGAATATCTCATACGATTTTCCTCTAAACAACTCACTGGCTTTATTGARAAAGTTTTATTCATTCCCACCTTAATTTTCATCCATATTTTTATGTAATTGCTAAATTTATTAATGTTTCTAAGGTTTTGCATTCAGCTGCTGCTATTGAAGTGTTCATACGGCAACATGTTGTACGCTGCACTATTCTTTTCTAGATTTTTGGTTAGTATGGTAATTTGCCCTATTTCTCCATAGACCATATAGTCCTACAGTTCTTCTTTCTGATGTATTTTAAGGGCCAATTGAATATTGCAGTTATGCCCTGCAATATTTTTTAAAATGTKTATGGTGAACTGTTTAATCTGTGGATTTTTCTGAATATCTAGGTGATGTTGAACACTTGCCTATAACCAAATGTTAACTTTTTCTGAGAAATAGTTGAGAATAATTCCTTTAAAGAATTAGATTTTAAATTAATTTAAATGTGTGTTAGTTTTATATTAATGTAAAGCTTCCTGAAAGGAATTGTGGCATATTAATAACATTAGACCCTTCTGAGAACCTTGTTATTTTTGTTTACTGCTGGTATATTACAACTTTTTTATCTTTAATAAAAATAGCAATAGGAAATGCTCCATTATACTAATACTTATTTGTGTTTTATTCCTAGAAAATTAWTTTGTGAAGAAATGGCCACCAGAACTGGAAATGAAAAGAGTGTGAATCCTGTGCTCAGAATAAGTCAACTTGATGCTCTTGAACTAAACAAAGCCCTGGAACAACTAGTGTGGTCCCAGTTTACCAGCTGTTTTCACGGATTTAAACCAGGGGYGTTGGCTCATTTTGAACCAGAAGTAAAAGCATTTTTATGTCTTATATTATGGAAATTCACTATCTATTCCAAGAATGCAACTGTGGGACAGACTATTCTCAATATTCAGTACAAGAATAACTTATCTAAGACAGAGAAATACCAACCTCTGAGCAAACACCAGAAGTTATGGTATCTGATTTTCACTGTTGGTGGAARATGGTTGGAAGAAAGATGTTATGATTTATTTAGCAATCGTCAACAGCAATCTTTCTGCAAAATTAAGAACTATATTAGTTTTGGATCTGGACTTCTTAAGCTTTGTGGACTTTTAAATTTTCTGATTTTTCTTCRGAAGGGAACATTTGCAACACTTACAGAACGTATTCTAGGAATTAGATCAGTTTTTTGCAAGCCGCAAAGTGTTCGTCAAGTAGGATTTGAATATATGAACAGGGAGCTCCTATGGCATGGCTTTGCTGAATTTTTGATATATCTGCTCCCACTCATTAATGTACAGAAACTGAAACTTAAAATTTCTTCTTGGTGCTTGCCTATCACAGGCCTTTCAAATAGTGAAAACACATTAGTGGCTCACTGCAGGGAATGCTCACTGTGTGGGGAATGGCCTACCATGCCACATACCATAGGCTGCCCACATGTTTTTTGTTACTACTGTATTAAAAGTAACTTTTTATTTGATATGTATTTTACGTGTCCTAAATGTGGCTCAGAGGTACACGATCTTCAGCCATTGAARTATAAAATTGAAATGACAGAATTGCGTGTTTGAACATGAGGTTGATTTAATTTTATACTGTACATGATCAAATGATTCAATCTGTTGAAGAGATTAATGGAAGAATTTGGAAATTATTGGAAGCATAGACTGCTTAAAGGTGGTTTTGGAGACTGTAATTTATTATAACGTATTTTTACTGGTCTTAGGCTTTTATTGAGTTATAGTTCTGTAATGCCCTACCCTGCCTGACAGGTTAGGGGAATGTAGTTGGATTTACTCTGGGTGGTATGTGGGAGAAYCTACAATATTCTCAGGAGGTTCAGTAACAACTCTTRCTTGCAAACTTTAGAACCTTCCAGTTGAATAAGGCACTTGGCAAACTTTTGCTTAGCAGTCTTTAACTTATCCAGACACAGTGCCAATACCARCTTAGCTAGTAGATGGATTTGGTGGGAAGGTCGTTCTGTTTATGCTTAAAGAATAATTTTAAATTGGAATTCCCAATGTGGTGTTACACTAAAAAAAAACATAGTTGTAAGGAAGGTGTAAGCAAAACAATGCCCCTTCTAGACCTTAATGAGATGGCAACTTTCTTAAGCAACCATGTCTCTAATTTTCAACAACATGTAATTTATCTTCCACTTCTTCCCTAAAATGCTSAGGGATGAAACCCGTCATCCATGGGAATGTGGCAACTGCCCAGGGTAACCCACATTCTTCTGAGTCACTCACACTGAAGGAAACAGTTTATTGATGAGATGCTCTCTGTAGGAATTGTKCTCTTGTTTTCTTGGTGTGGTCAAGGTGGGTGCCAAATCTCAAGAGTTCACCTCCACACAGGAAAAGATCGAACATATAWGCATATTAAAATAGGTAGATTTCCTGCTTTTTGTTTCCATTATTTGATTTGTTAGTAGGCTTTACAGTATTTTAATTGTTCTAACCTTTATTCATTTACTCGTCAACCTGGTTTTATAAGATTATTTTCTTTTTAAGTGTAGTTCTTTCCTAACAGGAAGTCTTACYAAAAGTCTCATTAACACAAAAATATGTTGCATCCTCTTTTGAATCTTAAATTGTCAAAAACATAAGCAGTTAAATTGAGTAAATAGCTTTATGGTGGCTGTGTTTTTGATTGGCAATCATCAATAGTCAGTCCCAAAAATAGCAGGGTAACAACTGATCGAGTATCTTTGATCTACTTTTATGAAATGGTTTATTACATTCTTCATTCTACATTCTGATTAAAACAACCCACCAGCCTGTTTGTTTGAAGATCTTAAATTCTAGGTTTTGATCTTTAGAGTGACACACAGCRCTTTCATCTGATGTAATTAAATATAGTTAGCAGGTGGGCTGCCCAAAACTTCATTAATTCTGCTACTGTTCTGTGAGTCAACAGAGACTTCAGAGCAAGTGCTTCCAGATACTGTGCTGCAATATTATTTGCTGTCAGATGTGTATATTAGCAGCCTGCCATATTTGTGTTATTTGCTGTTGCAATTARAACCAGCAGGTGCAAATCCATCTTTATTACAGTATCAAAACTGACAAGTCAGTTGGAGAGCATCCTGGAGTTACTTCCTGATCATGAAGGGATTTTGTATGAATTGTCCGTCCACATGACTTAATAGCTTTTCCCAAGGAAATGTATTAGCAACCCTRACTTCAAGGTGATCTAATATCTCCAGAAACATCATCAGCGTTTTTGATACTTCTGTCTTTAACTGTCTTTATTAATTAAGGTTTGTATGAATCCAAAATGCAGTGTTTATAGCTTATAGCAGACTTTTGTTTTCTGTGGACTCTTCATGTCACAGAGCATTATTTTGTCGAAAGAGTGTGAATTCTCTATATTGGCTTCTGTTAGGTGTCATGTCCTTCTTATGTAGGAGTGAGCTTCTTTCCTATTTAGAAAAGTTTCATTTTCCTGAATATTTAAASAATGTTATCTTCCTTTTTCATTCCACCTCCTTCTGTCCTGCTGTTTGATGTCTGAAAGCTGTATGAATTTCCTGGGGTTTGTTTTGTCTCTTGCAGCTTCATGCAGGTAAAATTTGTAATCTGTTTTTCATCCCTTTTACACTATCAGTACAAAACCTGTTTCCAGCAGTTTAGTACCTCTATTGTACAGCTGTTTTCTGTTGGCTGTGCTGTATTGCACTTKACTGGGTTTTTTGTTCTGGAATTAAACTTTAAATACTTAACTTACGATAACCTATTATACCAAAGCACTGGCTTACTTCTGTAGCATCTCCTCRTCACTGTGTTGGATCTGTAGCCCATAGCATTGACTAAGTTTGTAAAGTCTGTGTCTTATGGCATAAACAGTTTTTATTACCCTAATATCATAGATCTTAAGGTGGATGTTTAGTTCTTTTATTTTCCATACAAGTACACAGGGGTACCAAGCATCTCACAGAAGTAGGTGGTTTGGAAAAAGAATGGTTGTTTTTGTCAGATACAGATTTTTTTTTTTTTTTTTGATATCTGCCATGTCGTAAAACCTTTGTTCAGTTGTAGTCACAGCGGAGATTGATGAGACCAAGGTTCCAACTTGAATATTGGAAAACAACTTGCTACCAGCTTAGCTTTTTGGTACTTCAGAATCAATATTCAACATTTTCCTTTCAGCACTTTAAAATTATATTATTTTTATTTTAATATTGTAATTCTATTTTATTGTGTCCTATGACCTATAAGCTGCAGAAGAGTCTTACTTGAACATATTACAAGAAAAAAATCAGATAATTTGTAGACTAATCAAAGGATAATTAGTTTTATATACTAATTACGCTGATAATTTGTCCTCTTAAGCATTATATTTTTCAAAGGRCTGCTACATCTGGTCATGCTTCCTGCAGCAGAGGGAATAAAACTTATTTTGGAATGTTAATCTTTAAACAAAAGGGGTTTAGTATTCCTCTGCCRTGAGATCGTACTTGTGAGTAGTCGTATGTACATCAGTGAAAAGGGTAAATGCTTAGAATTTAAGGAAAGTAAAGGACCAGTACTTCTATTCARTCTTGGATGAGAGTTACAGCCTTGCATTCCCAGTTTTCTTCATGTTCTCTTGTATGTCTTTGTGTGCTATGTGAACRTTTTCATTATTAAAATATGAAGGCATAAATGAAACAGACTAATTACAATAATAAACATGCTAGAAAACTTTCCATATCTTTATTTGAATCAGTATTACTGTAGATTGCCACAAGGTGTGATTCAGGAGGCATTCGGATGAAAGAAGTCAAAGAGTGCTGGTTCTTACCTCCACAAACTGTCACCACTCCATCTAGTCTTTATGCTTTAAGTGGAAGTCTTCTTTTATATAAGTAATGTTATAGAAGACTTAAAAATGGGAATTTTGGTAAAAATATTCTGTGAAAGAAATGCGAGGGATAGTATTTGATTTCGGCCTTACCTGGAAACAGACAAGGAGGATCTCAACATTAGTAAAGAGACAACGTGGAGAAAGACGAAAGATACGTGTTTCCTAARTACAATCTATTAATGTCCTTATTTGAGAATACTAATCGAATTGTTATCTAAGATGTGTCATTCTTATGAAAATTAAGTTGACAAATAAATGATACTTTTTAACAGGTGGTTCTGAAGTTTGCCTTTTTCTTAAGAGGGTTTTTCTGGAAGGGTGGTTATTGCTTACTCAATGGGTGACTTCATACTTTGCTGTTTATGAGACTAAAATGCAAAGTGAGAAACTTTACTTTTAGTAAGAAAAACATGGTAGCCTGAACTACTGCAAGTCACAGTGCATACAACCCAAACTGCAGAAGCAATTTCAAAATGGTGCTTCAACCCCTTATGCATTCCCAGCAAGGACTCTTAGTAGAATTGGTTGAGTAGATTACAGCTGTCTGCCTTCAACTTCCCAAGAGAGTTTTACAAGCTGACAACATTAAAACATCCACCTAAATTATTATCATAGTCTTAAATTTCTGCCATTCCAGGAGAGGCCACTTCCAAAGCAGGAGCTGGCAGAAGCCTGGCAAGGTGACCAAATAGATAATCATTCAAGGAAAAGACATTTGTGGGCAGAATCCCTCTCAGGTGGGGACCAGATGAGTCACAAATGTGCACAGGCATACTTGTAGAGCATCTGCTAAAGCCAASTAGTCATCTTTTTTGTTCTCTGGAGCACACCTGGGGTTTTAGACCTCAAACTGTCTGTTGACTGCATATAAAATGCAGACCTATTTCAGATAGGAGGTGTTGGCAGACTTGTGCAACAGCAGGTGCAGGTAGTTCTATGTCGTACAGGCAGTTTTTAGTAAGTACAAAATCCTTAGCTGCATGCCTCTCTGATCCTTGGTCTCCTAAGAGAACAAACTTTACAAATACTTTGCATGATAAAGTTGGCCAGTGTGCTRCCATTCATCTCAAATCTGTCCACATTCAGGGACATATTTTAAGGATATTTCAGGGACCAAAAGGGTTGTCAGTGTGGTAAATGCTCTGCATTATGCTGTATTGGAAGAGATGTAATGGAAGAATAAGCATATTGGAGTAGCTCAGAAGAAGGGGGAAGCTGACTCTTCTGCCATTTTCTGTATTTATTGCAATCTTCTATCTCCTTGACTGCAGAACTGCCAACTTTCATTAATCTGACCAAAATGTCCTGCCATGTTCTCTGGCTTTTAGTCACTTGCCAATGGTTGGTGTACCATCTTATTTAAAGACCTTACCTAAATAGTCCTTCAGGACATACTGTGCCAAGGAAATAACCCAAGATAGCATCTACAGATTGTGCAGTTGGCAAGGATACCTCTAATGCAAAACTGTTCAAGGATAATCCTTGGAGATACATTGTTTTAAGGAAAAAACTTCACAGCTTGTTGGTTCAGTAGAAGTCTTCAGGTATCTGATTGCCTAACAAGATTGCTCACCTGCCCTCTGTAGTTGGTTCTCGTTTGTGGCCTGAAGACACTGCTGAAAGGATCCAGGTTTTCTGCCTAGAGGCAGGGCATTCCCTGGGGATAAGCCACAAGGAGAGTGCCTTTTGCAGCAGGCAGACAGTAAATTGCATTTAGTGGCAGTACGGACTCTTATATTGCGGATATGTATTACGTCTGAAGACTTGCTAAGAGTTTTGAAACTTGTCCTGATTTAATTGAGGTCAACTGCCTGTTAACATGGTTACTCTGAATGAATTCTCTACCATTATATTCTCCCCCAGGTCTTTAGTCATGGTTGTGCATGTTGCAGTAAGGGCCAACAGGCTTGGTATTCTTGGTGTTAATATCCAGTTTGTCACTGGTSATCTTCATCCTTATTTCAGATGCAGTAATCCACAACAGAAACTATGAACATAGTATGTGACAGCCAATTATCTGGGTAGAGATGCATGGCTTATGACAAGGCAAAAGAAGCAGTGTGCATAATGCAGACCCAAGGCTAATTAAGCTTTTCTTAAAATGCTTTTGTGTCTGTTTGCACTTAAATAGGTAAGTTTCTCATATGAGTGACTACCATAGCCAGTTATAATACCCACAAAACTGTCTGTAATTAATAAAAGCTTCTATGATGTGCATGCAATATTTACTGATAACTTTTAACTCCAGCCTCTTGAAGCAGGTTCCTACCTGCTTGTGATTGTGGATCCCATGGATTGCCCTGCCCTATAGTCACATGGTTCATAGATAGATTCAGAGAGCAAATAATTACCATTGCTTCAGGATAGTTTTCATGTTGGAAAGCTCTAACATCTCCATGACTGCTACACTACCAATATATTAACAACCTATCCCTGATTTATTCTGTATTAAAAAGGATAAGAATAGGGTAAAACTGTAGGTATTGAGGGGTGGTGGGCATAGGACTCTGAACTCTAGAGGAATGTGGCTACAGGGTAAACAGTATGTGGATTTCAAAGAGGGCCTGTTCCATATAAAAATTGCACTCACTGCTGTTCATTCTATATACAGAAGACAAAATGGTCCCAGGTGGTGCCTGGTATTTCTTCTCCAAAAGCAATGCTAGAATCACCAGAGCATGCTGCAACTGCAAACGAGAGATGGGCARTTAGCCAAGTGGCACAGCTCCTCTTACATGCTTGGTGGAAAATAGGATAACAGTTCAGTTTTGTTTGGCTGATTGCCTCCAGGTCTAGGCAGACCGGCCACTGCAGAAGATATAGCTGGACCTGCAGCATGCTTTCTCTGTTACATCCTTTCACAGTCCCTGTGACTGACAGCAGTCACCATACAACAATTTCAAAGGTGGTCGAGTGGCAAGGCACAAAGGAGTCCAGGTTGCTGATTGCATCGTTGCTTAGTGCCACAAAAACTCATCTTTATGAAAATATAAATTGATCAAAAAAAACTGGTACATTAGCTATACTTGCAGAACCAATATAGATGTCAGGACATGGAGATTAGAAGTTTGAAGGAAATGGCACTTGAAAGTTTTTCACATATACAGCAAAACAGCTTTTGCTGAAGAAATGCAAAATGCATTAGTCATTAAAAATAGATATCTGCACATTTCCAGTCACCTACAGCTATTCCTGGAAATACCAGAAAGAAATAACACTCAAGAAGTGAAATCTCTTACTGAAAYGTCTCAAGATTCTAAAAGAAATTAAAAGATTGTAGCAATCAAACTCAACTCTTGCTGAAAATAAGAATAAAACTTTTTTTTTTTTTTGTTAAATTCTTAAAATCAGTTCCACTAATTAATGTGCAGGCATACAAGTCTCTTAAGATACATATGATTGTGAGAAGTTACTTTTCACATTGAAATGGTCAGTTTTTACACCTGAGCTATCAGTTTAATTCATGCTTAAAAGAGGTTGCTAGTTAGGAGACATGCAAGGAAAAACATGTAATTGACTTTCCCTGATTACAGAGAGACATTGGTTGTTTTCTCAGGAATTACTCATGAGCATGATGTTTTAAATCTACCTTTTGAAGCAGAATATGTATTTTTTTGTAAAAATATTCATTTTATTTTAAGATATGCTAAAAAAAGTAACTGTTAATATTGTCCCTGGGTTGGTTTTGTTTTTTCTCTTGCAAGACACTGTAGAATGGGTGAAAATTTTAATTCTATTACAGAAGAAAAAAATCCCTTTTTGGCATTTTGTAAATAGATGATATTCTGTTAGTGGCTGCCTTTTCAGTAATGTGGTGGTCTAAATTCTGAATTCTATTATTTTACATCTACAGCAACTGAAAGCATATTTTTTTATAAACAGCAAACTTCACCTCATAAAAATTCATTACATAAGGGCATAAACAAGTACTTTTCCTTCCAGTCATTGGCAGTAAGTGATTCATCAGTTTTCCACAGAAAACCAATTTCATTGCAGATGTTCTGCAGACTCCCTGAATTGTAGAATCATATCATCCAATCCCAGCACAAGGAATGTAGGAATTTTTTTTTTTTTTTTGAAAGGGTGGAAAAAAGGCTGTGCTTAGTCTTTTTAATAGGATTGAATATCATTTGCTGTCTCATCAGTTTTGTGAAATAACCATAAAGTAATCAGCTTGCCATTCTTTCCTTTCCTGTACAGGCTATCAACTTTCTCACAATGCTGATTTCATAGCAAGTGCATGAGAGAAAAATCTTCCTTTGAGGTTAAACAAAATGTAACTGGGTTACATAGTTGTCTCTCCTTCATTCTTGCTCCTTCCTTTCTTTCTTCTTGCTTTTTGGATTCCTTTCTCCCATTCTTTCCTTCTTGGTTAATACTTCAAAATGTAGAAATTTCCCATAGTAGTCCACCACTAATTTTCATTGTCCAACAAATTTGACTTGTTTCTTCCTTTTAAAAAAAAATAAATTAGAGTTTACTTTTCTAAGAACCAGTAATTTATTGATTAATTAAATTCTGTTTTTTCACAGTGAGCCAGATATAAAGGATGGACCTAAAAACTACATCTTGCAAGTGTATGCAATTTTRTTTAATTCTATTCTGTATAGCATATAGAATCCACCCTACTATATTTCCACTGCATTAACTTATGTAGATACAAAATTCAATTCTGATAGCTGAAGGAGGGAAAGGAGACAAAGGAATATATTGAGATGAAAGTGAAAAGGTATAGAGAAAGTTTGAAGTAGAGAAACCAGAATACTAGCTGYCAAGCAGCTGGAACCAGAAAGAATTTTTTTTTTTCCAGTAGGAGGAATTAATTTCATTGATATCTATAAGATTGGGGTTGAATGTAGCCCTTAGAGAAGAAGCTGATAGTAGCAAAATGCACAGATCAAGTTCACCAGGTAAATGTTCTATACTGCTTTAAGTCTTGCTGTAAGTTTTCTATTTCCCATTTTGTTTTCTCCATTGCTGCTATTCTTAACTTAGCATAAAGAGAACATTTCTCCAAACATGTGTGAATCAATGAACTAAAGCCGGCGCGATTCAATCTAGAACCATAGAATCAAAGAATCATGTAATTTGTAAGAGTCTTCTAAGATCATCAAATCCAGCCATTGTCCTACCACTGTCAWTTCCACCACCAAACCATGTCCCTAAGTACCTCATCTGCAGGTCTTYTATATACCTCCAGGAATGGTGACTCAACCACTTCCCTGAGCAGYCTGTTCCAATGCTTGACAACCTTTTCCACAAAGAAATT